TTCCCCACGGACCGAGGTTTGGGGTTTGACCCCGCTCCGGCTCCTCCGCTCCCGCAGCTGCTCCACTCGGGGCCCCGAGCACGGCAGGGACTGAGGAGATGTCACCGCTGGCTTTGCAGCTCTGACCCCTTTCCCAGAGCCCCCAGAGCTCCCATCCCACCACTTCCCGCAGGAATGGGAATCCCAGTGGTCTCCTTATTGATTCCAGAGCCTCCAGCCCCTTCCCAGGCTCGCTCCCGGTGCCTCAACTTCCCCATGGCCTCAGGGATCCAGCACTGCCCTGCCTGAGAAGGGATTCCTGCAGGAAGGGTTTTGGAATCCTGGCAACACCTCTGGGTGCACCCACCGCACCCACCCTGAGCCTCCAGCCCGGCCCCTGAGGACTGGGCTGCGCTCTGGAGCTCAGGGGGGTTGGGAACCAGGGAATCAGAGCCCAAAATCCAATTATCCCTGTTCCCTACAAACCCCCGGCTTCCATCGTGTGCTTTTCCCCAGGCTGGAATTCCCCTTTCCCTGCATTACGGCCCCACTCTGGGCTGCGGGTGTGGCACTGCAGGAGCAGCACACTGGTCCCAGTTTGCCATCCCAGCACGGCCCAGTTTGGCCGGGCAGAGGGCACGGCTTTCCCTGTTCCGGGCTGCTTCCTTCCTTTCTCTTTCCCCTTTCCCTTTCCCAGTGCTCCTGCCCCGCTCCGGGGGTGTTCCCGGTTTTTGGGGTGCCACATTTCTCCCGAACCGGGGGGAAAGAGCGGAGGGAGCTGCGGGAAGGGCTGATCTCACGTGGATTGAATGTTTCGGACGGCACCGGGAGACGGAGCGGGGAGAATCGATTGTCCCCGGCAGCTCTGCCCGCCTGGCACTGCGGCACCGCAGCCGAAATGTCAGGTTTGTGATCTCAGGTCTGCGAGCACGACTCGGGGCGGGGGCAAAGAACCCAAGGGTGGCGTAGGGGGGGAAAAATCGGCCACAAAAAAACAAGGGCAGAGCGGGGCTGCCGCTGGGATGATGCGGATAATCGGCCCCGGGGGGCAATATCCATGGGAAGGAGCGGAGCGTTCCCTGGGTGCTGTGTACACGCAGATCCCTTATCGCTGAGGGATGGAAAACAGCAGCTGAGATGGAACCGCTGATACATTTTAAACACCCGAGCCGGGGCTGGGGAGGGGGATGCGGAGGGAGGGGCTGGGGGGTGCGGGGGGAGGGGAGGGCTCTGCGCTGGTGCTGAGCCGGGGGTGTTGGGTTGTAGGGACGGGAGCAGATTTAGGGGATAACCCCCCCGGAGAGGGACTGTGGGGGCTGAGAGCCCCCGGTGTGACGAAAGGGAAAAGAATCCACGGGGATGAGGTTTGTGCTCCAGGCCCGGAGCTGTGAGAGGATGAGGGGGATAAGGAGGATGAGGAGGATGAGGAGGATGAGGATGTGGCATTTGGGGGCACTGCTGTTTGTAGGATGGTGCCCCGGGGGTAAAGAGTTCAAGATCTGCCTGCCCACCCTGGCCGATGATCCATCCCTTTGGATGGGCAGGATCCATCCCTGTGCACTGAGCAGGATCCATTCCTTTGGATGGGCAGGATCCATCCCTTTGGAGTGCTCTGCACGGAGTGGATCAGCTCCGATCCTCCAAGGTCCCATCCCATGGGATGTGGCTGCCCCGAGGGGTTCCGTGTCCCCTTCCAGCTCCAGCCTCTCCCCGTGCCGGGGCCGGTCCGAGATGTGCGGAGGAGCCGCCTGGCCGAGCTCTCTCCTAATCCCAAATCCACCCCGCGCCAGCTCAGCCCGGAGCCGCTGCCAGGAGCCTCCTGCTCGTCCTGCCGAGCCCAGCCGGGCAGTGATTGATGGATGTCCTGGGGGGCTCCCGCAGAGCTGGGGGGGCCGGGGCCGCCTTCACCTGTTCCCCCTGTCCGGCAGGCTGGCTCCGAAGGAATCCAGCTCCCAGACAAGCGCTCCCCGGGGAGCTGGCTCGGGTCTGCTCCTCAGCCCTGCCGGAGCATCCCCGGCTCCCCGGGCCGGGTAGAGGCGCCCGAGCTCGGCAGGAGGGACCCGGGCGTGCTTCCAGGTGGGAAGGAGACACAGGCACCCACCCCGAGGTTTCCGGTGCTGGGTAAAGGAGTCGGGGGGTGCTTGAGGGGCTCTCTGCCTCCTCTCAGCCCCTTTATTTTCCAGGTTTTTTCCCCTGCCCTGAGGTGGGGTCACGTCTCCTTCCCGCTCTGCGGTGTCAGCCTGAGGGTGGTGAATCCCCTCTTTATTTGTTTTAGCTGGAAGCTGACATCCTGCTGCATTCTCATGACTCCAGGACCTGGGGCTTTAACAAAAATGTTAAATATTAGAAGCCTCTCCATAATTTTGCAGCATTTTTGGAGGGGAAGGGGAGTGCAGGCACTTGCTCTTAAACCCCCGGTTTGTTTGTGGAGCAGCCCTCAAACCCTCTCCCCTTTCTTGCCATCCCTCCTTCTTTCCTGGCTTCCTCCCACCCTCCCTGTGGGAAAATCCGGCTCCAGAGCTAAATCCTGCGGCTCTTCCCTGCCTTCCCCCGCGGCTTGAGCCCACCCTGGCCCACGGCACCTCCTGCCCCAGCCCTGGTGCCCATCAGCTCCGGTCCAAGTCCCCCTGGATGAGCCAGCCCGGCCTCGCTTTTCCCGGTTTTCCCGATGGTTTTCCCGGTTTCCCCGCTGGTTTTCCCGGTTTTCCTGCAGAGAGCGGGATAAAGATCTCCATCTGCCGCTGGCTCCCTGTACTGCAAACTCCGCTCCCCCAAAGCCACCAAGAGCCCCAGGGACCGGGAGGAGAAGCCCCGGGCAGAATTGGCCAAAGGGAGGAATGAAATAAGGCAGAACCAGAGGAAAACCAGGCCGGGATGGGCGGCTCTGCTTCCCTGGAAAAGCCCCGGGATGACGCTCAGAGCTCCTGGCTCTCCCCGTTTTTCCCTCTCCTCTCTCCACCCACCCTCCCTTTTCTCCTCATCATCCTTTTATTCAGGGGATGGAAAAAAGGGAAGGCACGGGCTGGTCCCAAAAATCCCAAAAAAGCCCCAGCACTGGGAAAGGAGGGACAGAGGGAGGGATGGTGTTTTTGGGGGGAGTCTCACTCCGTGAGCCCCTGGCCGTGCCCTGCTGCATGCTCCCAGCTCTGGGATATTTATCCCTTTATCCCTTCCCTGCATCCCACACCTCCTCCCCACCTGTGCCCTGAAATTTCCCAGCCTCTGCTCCGGAAACGAGGGGAAAGTGCCATGGTCAGAGCTGGGAACTCTGTCCCAGCACCCCATGGGTGTAAATCCAGCCCACGGGTTGTGGGAAACACAGGGAACCCACCCAGGGACACTGGATTTAGGGTTTTTAGGGGGAAATCAGGCTGGGAAAAGAAGGAGCCCTGAATGTCTCCCCATGTGGATCCCAGCTCATCCCGTGTGGATCCCAGCTCACCCCACACCGATCCCAGCTCACCCCACACCGATCCCAGCTCATCCCACACCGATCCCAGCTCACCCCACACAGATCCCAGCTCATCCCACACCGATCCCAGCTCACCCCACACAGATCCCAGCTCACCCCACACAGATCCCAGCTCATCCCACACCGATCCCAGCTCATCCCACACCGATCCAAGCTCTCCCTGGCTCGGTTCCAATTTCCTTTCCCCCAGGTGTCTCTGCCGTGCCTGCCTCTCTCTCCACACTGCCCGGGGCTGTTCCCGTTATCCCGGGATGGCCGGGAAGGGTTTGGGCTCCATCCCTGGCTCGGGATTGGATCGATCAATTATCCCCTGACAGGAGCAGATGGAGCCGGGGTTATCCAGGGAAATTCTGCCACTTCCCAGCCGGAGCCTGACCCAGCCTCCCGTCCTGCTCCCGGCCCCGGGAATGCTGAGAGCCAGGGAATGGGGTTGGAGCGCTACCAGGGCACCCCAGACCTGCTGCCCCTCATTAGTGGGGTCACCCCGAGCCCCCCGAGCCTTCCCCAGGCCCCTTTTCCCCATCCCAGGGAGATCCAAGCAGGGATGCTGGAGCAGGGAGCTCCCCCCTCTCCCCACACCTACCCAGGCGTTTATCAGCTTCCAAAAGCCAACGTTTAAATGGCATTAGGGGCCTGATTTGGAGCCACAAAAGCCATGAAATTCTGAGTTAAGGCTCAAAAATCCACTTGACACTCCGGCCTTGAGGCATGAAAGGTTTGAGCCGGGGGCAGGGGCTGGGCCGGGGGCTCGGGGCCGGGGCTGAGCCCTGGACCAGACTGAAATGAGCCTGGCCAGGCTGGGAGGGCCGGGGACAGCGTTTGGGGGAGCTCTGGAGGGGGCTTATCCCAAATTGGGTGGTGGGAGGTGACTGGGCTGGAGGGGACAACCCTGTGGTCACACTGGGGTGATGGTTTGGGGACAATCCCGGCAGTCAGGGAGGGGCTCTCCCCTCCTCGGGGGGGTTTGGGGTGGGTTTGGGGCTCTCTCCTCCCTGCCGGGGTTTGGGGTTCTCTTTCCCTGCTGGGGCTTTGGGGCTGGTTTTCCTCCCTGCCAGGGTTTGGGGTGGGTTTAGGATGGGTTTTGGGGCTCCCTCCTGCCCTCCCAGCAGGCAGTACCCAGAGGCTTTGGAGTAACGCCGATGAGGACAAGTGAGAATGGTTTAAACTGGAAGGGGACAGGCCTGGATGGGACACTGGGAATGAATTCCTGGCTGTGAGGGTGGGCAGGCCCTGGCACAGGGTGCCCAGAGCAGCTGTGGCTGCCCCTGGATCCCTGGCAGTGCCCAAGGCCAGGCTGGACGGGGCTTGGAGGAGCCTGGGACAGTGGAAGGTGTCCCTGGATGTATTTAAGGTCCCTTCCCACCCAAACCATCTGTGATTTTGAACAAGGCCCCGCATTTTCTCCTGTCTTCCTCTCCCCAAGCAGGGGAACATCGTTTTAGCAGAAAATTCAAAGCTGGGTTGATTTTATTTAAAGGCATCCAGTGCCGACTCACTCTCACTCTATCTGACAGCAACCCAGAGAAATAATTCATAAAAGCAACGCAAAGAGGCTTGAAAATTATTTTATTGCACATTTTTCTAGCTGAGCCAGGATCCACAGGAATTGCAGCCACTCCCTGCCCTGTCAGAGTCACCACTGACCCCAACCCCCAGTGCTCAGCACAGCAGCCCTGCCAGGCCTCCAGCCACCTGCAAACCCTGTTAATTGAGCAGTAATTAATCCTAGGGGTTAGAAACGAACACATTTGGGAATTAGAGCTGAGCCTGGAGGAGGCAGGGCCTCGTGGTCCAGATCTCTTTTCCTGTTGGCACTGCAGGTCCCACCACCAAGCCCTGGCTGAGGGAGACCCCAGGGGCAGGCCTGGTTTAAGGCAGGTTTAACTCCAAATTAAACCTGTTTTAAGGCCTGGTTTAAGGCAGATTTACCTCCAAATTAAAGCTGGTTTAAGGCCTGGTTTAACTCCTGTTTTAAGGCCTGATCTTGGCAGCTGGCAGAGCCCTGGGGATGGGGTTGGGTGGGACAGCAGCTCCCCGGGATGGGAGGGGGGTCCTGGAGCTCCTGCAGGGCTGGCAGCTCCAGCAGGATGGTTCCTGCTCCCCAAACATCCCAACACCTCTGCCAGTCCTCCCAGAGCACACGCAGGGATGGGAGCAGGGGAAGCAGCCAGGTGGGAACACCAGAGCCAGCCTGGCCCTGTCCCCAGGGCACCAAGGGGGAGCTGCTGCTGCTCTGCCCCACCCTCAGCTCAGCTGGGGGGGTCCCGGGCAGGCTGAGGCTTTGAGGGGTGGGATGAGCTGGGATAAGGCACTGGAGCTCATTTCCAAGCAGCTGAACTCTCCTGGCACCACGTTCCTGCCACCCTGTCCTGCCCAGCCCTTGTTGGGGGTGAGGGGCTCAGAGGTGGGGAGAAATCCCAGCTCAGAGTGGGGAAAAATCCCAGCTCAGAGTGGGGAAAAATCCCAGCTCAGGGGTGGCCCCAGCCTTGCTCCCCTGGTGCAGGGACACCTGGGGATTGTGGATGTCCCCACAGCCAGGGATTTGGGTGGTGGGGACACAGAGAGGGACATCCTCCATACAAGGGACAGGGACACTGATCTCATGTCCTGCTCTGATTCCTGCTCAGCCCCATGGAGAGGGAACCACTCTGGGGATGGGAGAACTGGGAGGAAAAGGGAGTTGGGGTCCAGCTGTGCCTCTGCAGCCACCCCTTAATTAACGACTGACCTAATTAAGCATGTTGACACAGAATCACGGGGGTTGGAAAAGACCTTTAAGGTCATTCAATCCAACCACTGCCACATTCACCATCGTGTCCCCAAGTGCCACGTGACCGAGGAAACCGCGAGGCCCTCCGAGCTTTACAATTTAATAACACTTTTTTTTTTCTCCTTGTTTTTTTTGTTTTTTTTGTTTTTTTTAAATAGCTCCTAAGCAGGGTGGGTTAGAATCAGTAGTTTCAGTGCAGTGGGGGGTGGCAGCTGTCCCCGGGGCTGGTGTCCCCAGGGTCACTGCATGTAGGCGTAGCGCCAGTCCCGCAGGGGCACGTGCGTCTCCTTGATGGCCTGAGGGGACGTCCAGCGCAGGATGTAGTGGGGACCCCCGGGCTTGTCATTGGTGCCTGTCGGGGGTGGCACAAAGGGCTGGTGACATCACCGACGGGGGCAGGGACACACAGCGACACGGAAGGACAGGAGGGACACGGAGAACAGGAGACACGGAGCACAGGAGGGTCACAGCACAACAGGGACATGGAAGGACAAGGGGGACAGGAGGGACATGAGGATGGGAAGGGCAGAGAGGGATGGGGACATTGAGAGATATCAAGCACAGGAGGGACATGAAGGGATGGGAAGGACACAGAGGATGGGAGGGACACAGGAGACACAAGGGATGGGAGGGACAGGAGGGACACGCAGGGATGGGGACAAGGAGGGACATGGAAGGACAGCAGGGATATGGAGGGACAGGAGGGATATAGAGGATGAGAAGGACATGGAGGGACAGGGACATGGAAGGACATGGAGGGACAGGAGGGACATGGAGGAATGAGAGGGACATGGAAGGATGAGGACAGGAGGGACATGGAGAGACACAGAGGACAGGAGGGACACAGAGGGACAGGAGGACAAGGAGGATGGGAGGAACACGGAGCACAGGAGAGACACAGGGGACAGGAGGGACACAGGGGACAGGAGGGACACAGAGGGAGCTGGGAAGGGCCCAGCCAGGAGCCCTGGTGTCACCTGAGATGCGGGAGCCCCCGAAGGGCTGCTGGGCCACCACGGCCCCCGTGGATTTGTCGTTGATGTAGAAGTTGCCGGCAGCGTTACGCAGCAGCCGCCGGGACTCCTCAATGACAGCCCTGGGCAAGGACAAGGACAAGGACAGCCCTGAGCACAGCCTGGGGCTGTGCCTGCTGCAGGGCCACCACAGCTGGGCAAAAAGGAGTTCGTGTTCCCTGGAGAGGAGTTTGTGTCCTCCCAGAGGACTCTGTGTCCCCTCCTGAGGAGTTTGTGTCCCCTCATGCTCAGTTCCAGGCCCCAGGGGTTTCACACACACAGCTCCTGCATTTTCCCTGCTCTTGGGGTTTTTTTTTTCAGTTTCTTTCTCTATTTATTTTTTTGTAGTTCTAAAACAAAGGTCATTATCCCTCATTGTCCAGAGCAGCTGTGGCTGCCCCTGGATCCCTGGAAATGTCCCAGGCCAGGCTGGACAGGGCTGGGAGCATCCTGGGGCAGTGGGAGGTGTTCTGTCCTGGCACTGGGTGGACTTTAAGGTCCCTCCAGCCCAAAATTCTGGGATAATTTTGGGTGATTTTGGGATAATTTTGAGTGATTCTCTCTAAGGTTACACCACTCTTTGCCCTCCTCCTGCTGAGTGGGTTCACCCCCCGTGTGCTCCAACCATTCCACTGGAAAAAAAGCTTTTTTTGGGCTAAGAAACCCCTTCCAAACCATCCCTTTCCTTCCAAAAGCAGCACAAGCTTGGTGGGAAATGCTCTTTCCTCCTCTGGAGAGAAGGAAGATCCGTGGCTCAGTCCAGATGGGAAAAGCATCCCCACAGCTGCTTCTCAGGGGAATTTTAGGGAATTTTGGGACTCACTTGTCCTGGGCGAAGATCGCCCCCGTGAGGCCGTAGGGGGTGGTGGTGTCGATGAGCTCCAGCACCTCCTTGTAGCGATCGTCGGGGTACACAAAAACCGTCAGGATCGGCCCGAAAATCTCCTGGGAGCACGGAAAATACCAAAAACTGTCAGGATCGGCCCCAAACAACAACACACACCATCAGGATCGGCCCCAAAAAATCCCACACCCCGTGAAGATCATCTTGAAAATCTCCTGGGAGCACGGAAAATACCAAAAACTGTCAGGATCAGCCCCCCAAAAAATCCACACCCCATCAGGATCGACCTGAAAATCTCCTGGAGCCCAGAAAATAGCGAAAACTGTTAGGATTGACCCCAAAAACCAACACAAACGGTGAGGATCGGCCCCAGAAATCCCACATACCCCATCAGGATGGGCCCAAAAATCTCCTGGAGCCCACAAAATACCACAAACCGTCAGGATTGGCCCCAAAAAACCAACACACCCCATCAGAATCAGCCCAAAAATCTCTTGGAGCTCAGAAAATACCACAAACCATGAGGATCAGCTCAAAAAACAACACAAAACCCCCATATTTTTTGGATTGGCCAAAAAAATCTGTGAGCCCAAAGAACAGCACAAACCATCAGGATTGGCCTAAAAATCTCCTGGAGCCCAGAAAATGTCACAAATCATCAGGATCAGCCCCCAAAAAACAATACACACCATCAGGATCGACCTGAAAATCTCCTGGAGCTCAAAAAATACCACAAACCGTCAGGATTGGCCCCAAAAAACCAACATACCCCATCAGGATCAGCCCAAAAATCTCTTGGAGCTCAGAAAATACCACAAACCATGAGGATCAGCCCCCCAAAACCCACACCAAACTGTCAGGATTGGCCCCAAAGAACAACACAAACCAACAGGATTGGTTCAAAAATCTCCTGGGAGGCCAGAAAATGTCACAAGTCATCAGGATCAGCCCCAAAAAACTCACGAACACTGTGAGGATCAGCCCAAAAAATAACAAATCCTGTGAGGATCAGCCCCAAAATCTCCCAGATTGGCCCAAACCTGATGCAGGAACCCATCCCAGAGCAGGGATTTGGGAGGGGGTCCCTGCAGGGATTTGGGGTCTCGGGGGTCCCTGCAGGGATTTGGGGTCCCGGGGGGTCCCTGCAGGATTTGGGGTCACAGGGGTTCCTGCAGGGATTTGGGGTCCCCCACCTCTCTCCTGATGGGGTTCCTGCA